TACAGACGTGAATGATCAAATTTATGTGTGATATGTGTTCTAGCCTTGTGATTAAGGAAGTTAGGAGACAGAGATAGTGCTTGAGGTAAATAATTGGAGCTTTTGAGAAATATGGATCTTCAAGTTTTGAAGGTCTTGGTCGGGCTCATATAAGAAGCTAGCATCTCGACGAAAGCCATAGCCTCAGAACGTGCTTCAATGTATGTGAAACTAAATTTCCCTCCTATTGATTTGAAGCTTGATGGATTGACCACATATCTGAGTTAGTCGCGTCGTGTCGAGACTGCTATAGTAGGGAAAAAACTAGAGGGATATTTGGCTAGGGACAAACCAAGAGTGACAGTGCTGAGGGGGATAAGTGGAGAACCAAACACACCTTAATCTACACCTAGCTACTCAACTCGATAGTTCTGTCAATTGCATCTTCAATAGACGACATTCAAATGGTGAGGCCCATTTGGGCAAAGCTGAAGAAGATTTATGCTGGGACAGAGAAACAGATGAGGGTGTTTCAAATTCAACGTGGGATAAAAGCAGTGATATAGGGTGATAGATTGACTCATGAATACGCCATAGATTTGGAGTGGCCAAGAGAAGATCTTAATCACTTCTTACAGATGTTGATCTATTGTAATATGGAGTCCATGAAATGGGGGATCTTTACACAAATGAAGACTGTAGTTTCTGCCTATTTGACTCGACCTTTGATCAAAGAAGTTCAGTCCCCTTAGCTTAGACTACTATCCATTCACTGGATGATGCCATCGTTCTGATGATACATAAGGAGAGTTACATTAAGCTACACTCTGAGCCGAGTGGACTTCCGGGTGCACGATCAGCTTTGACTGTTTCGAGCTCAGGTATAGTAGGTGTCCAGGGGGTGACTCACAAGTGCTACAACTGTAGTGAAGTTGGACATCTGAGCAAGACTTGTCCGAGGCCACCTTAAGAGAGAGAGAGAGAGAGAGAGAGAGTGATACATAAGGAGAGTTACATTAAGCTACACTCTGAGCCGAGTGGACTTCCGGGTGCACGATCAGCTTTGACTGTTTCGAGCTCAGGTATAGTAGGTGTCCAGGGGGTGACTCACAAGTGCTACAACTGTAGTGAAGTTGGACATCTGAGCAAGACTTGTCCGAGGCCACCTTAAGAGAGAGAGAGAGAGGTGGGCGTGGATAGGGTAGAGACCATGGTCATGATGGTCGAAAAGGTGAAAAAGGGGCTACCAGACAAATCTGATAGTAGCAAAGAAGGGAGAGACATGTGTGGTCTTTACTAATGAGGACCATGAGTGTGGAATTGTTGAAGAAGCAAAAAACAACAAAAGATGGGCTTGAGGATGCTTCTAACCAATCACCATCAAAGGGTAACATTGTCATTTATGCCACTTTGACAAAAATACTTAAGATACACATGCTGTTGTCTCTATTTCCACCACATAATCATCATAATGGATAGTAGATTCTAACATATCTCAACATGTGATAAATACTGCTACAAAGTTTTCTTCATATTCTCCCCTAGCCGTACTAGAGAGCATCCAAACAACTGATGATACATCACAGCCTGTAGTTGGTAAGGGTATAGTGAGAGGTACCAATTATATGACATTGTCCAATGTTTTGCATGCTTCTTTTCCAGTGAACCTTTTATCCAATAATGTCATTCTTCTCTAACTAGAATGTGTTGTTGCTTTTGATATTTCTAAGGTGTTTTCCAAGAGAAAGGGACATACCAGATACTTGGGATTGGAACATGACATAGTGGACTCTAGTACTTAGACCAGGAGTGGATGGACTCAACTTTGACATTCATGGCAGAGAATACTGGAGTAGGAGAATTTGGGAAAAGTGGAAGATGTGTTAATGTTACATCACAGATACATTTGACACTCTTGTTTTAGTTTACTAAGCCAGTTGTATCATTCTTTATATGAAAAGACAAATAAACAAAAACTTGCTTGTTAACTTGTGAGTTTAGCAAGTTATTAAGAGCTCTTATATAAGTTATGGGAATATGAGTTCTGATATTTTTGGTTTGATTCATTCTTTGGGAACCTTGTTCTATAAGTTCTAGGAATGATTATCGATACTCTGAGCCCTTTATTGATTGCTTTTCTCGATTTACTTGGTTATATTTGATGAAAAATAAGGGTGATGTTCTTGCTTGCTTTCAAGACTTCCACAATACAATTCATACTCAATATGATGCAATAGTAAATGTATTAAAATCTAATAATAGGACAAAATATATCAACAAAATAATTGGGGAATACTTGTCAGCCCAATGAATACAACATCAAACCACATATTCATACACACCAACATAAAATAAAGTAACAGAGAGAGAATAAACACCTGTTAGAGGTTGCCCGAAGCATGATGATCAAAATGAATATACCAAAACACTTAAGGGGGCAAACAGTTTTGACAGTTGCCCAGTTGATCAATAAGATGCCATCAAGGGTGTTGGATTGGAAATTTTTTTATTAGATTTTGAAAGGAGATAATAACAAGATATTTCCATTGAAGGTGTTTGTATATGTACGTTTTGGGAATGATAACAGACTATCAGCAGAGAAACTGGATCCCAGAGCTGTGAAATGCGTTTGCGGGTGACTCTGCTACCCAAAATGGGTATGTGCTAGAGCCCAATAACAAAAAAAAAGTTTGTGAGCATGGATTTATCATTTAGAGAAATTGAACCGTAGTATACCCAAGAGGTGGACTTACCACTCGGTGACTCACCAGATACAAAATATATGGGGCAAGAAAAGGTGAGTAACAATGGTGAAAGAGTTGCAAACGTGAGAGCAATGCTTGTCCCGTGGCGTGGGATGAATTAGTTGAGGAACCGAAAAAATGAAGAGTGAACCCATAGGTGTTGGATTCAAGCTGAAGATGTGCTAAGGGTGCATACATGGAGAAGAAAACAAAATGAGCGAACAATGCTTCCAGTGCCACTTGTGCCAGCTAGTTCATTGTCCCAGTCTTTCTCGACTCTTTGAGACACCTACACCATCCACCTCCAATTCAGAACTCCAAGGTGATACAACTCCTCCTCTCCCTTCTCCTAACTTTAAAGAGGACTTCTCGCAAGGATGCGTGCCATCTTCCCAAACATTTTAGGTGAGAGCATAACATTGCTCACTTTGTTTCATAATCTAACATATCACATTTATATGAAGCACTCATTGCATCTTTATACATCGTATCTATACCGAAGTGTTGGCAGATTACTACGAAGGATCCCAAGTGAAAAGTGGCTATGCATGAATAGTTTAGGGCTCTCAATAAAAAATGAACATGGGAGATGGTTTTACTACCAACGGGGAAGAAAAAAATTGGGTGCAAGTTAATCTTCACAATAAAACAAACTCCAGAAGGGAAGGTAGAGCAATACAAAGAATGACTGGTGGTCGAAGGGTACATTCAGATATATAACATTGACTATGATGAAACCTTTGCATCAGTAGCAAAGATGAGCGCACTGAGAGCACTAGTTTCTCTTACAGTAAATGGTGGGTGGAGTTACACCAACTCAATGTGAAGTACACATTTCTCTTAGTGAGTTATTGGAGGAGGTATATATGGGGATACCATCAGGATTCAGTACAATCCAGACGATGAACAATACGTGTAGGCTCAAGAAGTCACTGTATGACTTGAAGTAGTCTCCTCAAGCCTAGTTTGATAAGTTTAGAAATGCTATGATGGGCATGAAATATTAGCAGATCAATGTAGACCATATGACATTTTTTTGACAACATGAATGTCACACCACTATACTTGCTGTGTATGTTTATAATATCATTATCACTGATGATGATAAGATAAGTATTGCCCAATTAAAGGTAAGATTGAGAAATGAATTTGAGGTAAAAAATCTTGGACAGCTTAGATACTTTCATAGGATTGAAGTGACTCGTGGTGGTCTTGTACCAACGAAAATATGTACTAAATCTCCTCACGAAAACATGCATGTTAGGGTACAAACCTGCAGTTTCTCTAATTGACCAGAAGGACAAGTTGAGTGCAGAGGCAAAAGAACCGGTTGATCGTGTGAGGTACCAAAGATTGATGGGCTATCTAATCAATGTATGTCAGACTGGCCTCGACATCTCTTTTGCAGTGAGCGTGGTGAGCCACTACATGCATGATCCAAGGAAGGGCCATACGAATGCAATGTATTAGATTTTAAAGCACTTAAAGAGTGCGCCAGGGAAGGGGTTGATGTTCAGGAAGAATGAACATGTAGACATTGAAGACTTTTGTGCCGCTGACTAAGCGAGTTGTGCTGATGACAGAAAATCCACCTTAGAAGAGCAAGAAACAATATGTACTAGCAAGGTCAACAATAGAGGCAGAGTACAGGGCCATGACCTTAGGAGTTGCCTAGATGATGTGACTGAGAACCTCGTTGGTTGAGCTCAAGATAGACCAAAGAATTCAAATGAAGTAGTGGTGTGACAACAAGTCAACAATCAACATTACCAACAACCCTAAGCAACACGATAGAACCAAGCTTGTGGAGATTGATAGATTCTTCATCATGATAAAGCTGAATAACGGGCTACTGGAGCTAAGCCATGCAACCACTAGGAGAGCAAATGCTTGATTGCCTTACTAAAGGATTTAATTCATTAGATCTGTCTAGGTTATGTGGCAAGATAGACTTAGAGGATGTCTTTTGCCCATCTTGAGAGGGAGTGTTGGGAATTGGACCTTATTTAGGGTCCTATTGGTAAAAAGGAAATGTTGAAGAAGTCTAGGGGTTTATTTGTAAAACATTGTAATACCCCATTTAAACCCATGTTATGAATGTACATATTAGAATTCCAGCAATTCTTTAGATTTCGATTTACTCTTTGAGAGAAATTAAGAATGTCGTTGTAGTGAAAATTGGGTAAAAAATCAGCCAGAAAACTACTTCACAACTCTAGTAATCATGGTACACATACGCATCCCAACATTATACTTCTATCAACAATTTTTCCGGCCTGCAGAAATGACAATTATAGTATTTCTAATGAAATATCATAGATTAATAAAAAATACATGATAAAAAGTTGAATAAATTTATTTTAAACTAAATCTTAGAGGCATCGACATGCCAAAGAATGAGAAACCAGTGAGCAGTAGCAAGAAAAGAAACATTAAACCTGAATAATACTAGTACCTTATTGAAGCTTCAGTTGATCAGCTGGGATGAATTCTAGAGAAACCTGAAATCTAAAACAAATGCTATTTTCTGTTCAGTCTTGTCAAGAATTTCCTCACAGCATTAATCACTGGGAAAGGGTTCTCCAAATGCGCTGCATGGCCACATTCTGGAACTACGACCATTTCACATAAATCTCCTTTACCGTTAACTTCACTGGGACAAGAGTTTTTGATTTCGTTGCGCATCTCCTCTGCGATTCTTCTGAATTTGATATCTTTTTCTCCCACAATGAGTAGAACAGGATTCTTGCAGTGGTTTAGCTCATCCCAAAGTGGCCTGGCAACAGAATGATATTGAGATGCAGAACATGATATAAATGATTCTCAATATGCTTTCTGAAATCCCCCAAATGAGAGAAAAAAAAGGAAAATTGCTCAAAAGATTTTGTTCAATGTTGTTCAAGTAATTAATTGAAAACGTTGCCCAAGTACATACTAACAGGATTTTATTTGTCTTCTGACGAAAGAAAAGAAATCAAGTAACCAAAAGAGAAGAGTCATTTGATACTAGAAACAATGCTGATATTAACACCAACTGCTCGAAACAAATGTATGAAAAAAAATTGGAGGCGTGCCCACCTTTGCCTTCCACTGCTCAAGCCAGTGAGACATTTTGCAAGGGACTTGATATCTTCGTGTTTCTCGCGCTGCTTTACTATTTTATGGAAGAGAGGATGATCCCTTAAGCTGTTGAATAGAGCAGAAATAAAAAGGGGATAAGAAGTTAAACCAGTTGAGGCAATGAAATTTGCCTAGGACAAATTATGACAAGTCGGCACAAGGAAGATTTCGTTCGGTTCACACATCACTCAAAAGTAACTTTTTTTATACCAAAAATAAAAGATTATTATTACATTAATAAGATAAGTTCATGTATAGCCGGTATATGCCAGAAAAAAAAGACAAAAATAATTCATACAAGTTCAATCAAATATGTCCCAAATAGTTGAGTGGATCTAGAACAAGGCTCTAAAGTGTTTCTCCTAATTAGTAACCTCATCAAGCAAAAACAAAAGTTTGCATAAAGATCAAAGATGACAACCATTTTCTTGCTCAAGTAATATACACGAATGCAATCATCCACCATAGAACAAAAAAAAAAAAAAAACAATTGAGACCAAGCATAAACATATTACTTTATCTGCCTTTGTCTTGCAACGAGTATAAGTTCATTTATATGCAATAAAAAAAAAAGTTCACTGTTATTATCACCTAACAAAATATATGATAAAAGCACCACATAGATTGTAAGATCAATAGTAGAAAATAGTTTCCCACATTAGAAATGAAATATGAGTTGAGTTCTTAAGAAGTGAGCCTTATCCATCAGCCTAAGCTTTTGAATTGATGGGTGTCCATCTACTAGTTAGTGTATTGGTTTTAACTAATGCCCCCAAAGTTCCAACCTCTTGATAAGTGATATCAGATGCAATAATTTCGCTGGTTTGAATATTTGAAAATATTTGATGATGGATACATAGCATCCACTTGGTAGATGGAGTTAAAAATCTTCCGTCCGGCTGAGTAAGTGATGCAAAGAGGGATATTATTGATATCCATATGAGAGCAAAAGAATAGTCATACATTAGAAGTTTAGTCCTTATATAGTAGCGGTGGACCTTAGCCATTGATAAATGTTCATCTATTAGTGTACTGGACTCGAGATTGTGATGTTCCACTCTACGCAAAGTAGTAATGCCAAGTTTTGTTTAGAATCATCATACATGTTGAAGCCCTAATTATCTTGAATTGATACATAATCAAACAACTAGTTTTTCAGAGTCAAAATTCAACCTTGCGCTTCTTGCTTAAGAGATACTGATTAAGAAAAGTTCCTAGAGAACTTCGATCAGATTACTTCATTCCTACAATATATCCAGGATGCCAAAAATGATTCATGTACTACACTAACTCACACAAGCTTTAGCATTCCCAAACTTGTCAAAATAGCCTTTAGACACACACAAGGTTGATGGTTGCTACCAAATGTGCTGATATTTATAGATAATCAAGGGGAAAAAAAACTATTAAAAGAGTAGACAAACATATTCCTCTTCAATTTCATAGAAAACGATTACAAGATAAATATAGGGGATGACTCCCACATGAAGAAAATAGTAAAATCAACCATAACTTTCCATTGTATTCTTCATGCTTTGTGAGTAGATTTCCTTTACTTTTCTCTTGTGATGAATATGCAGGATTTGTAGGATGTGTTGAATGCTTCTAGAATTAGATTTTAATACTAATGTGATAATCATTCCTTCTATGCCTCATCTACTTTTTGTAATGGCCATATGAATTATTAAAATTTGTTGTGAACCCATAAAGACTCGGATGAGCTATGACATGAACAACTAGGGAGATCACATTGAACTAATGAATGAAGAAAAGTTAGTACATAGAGAAATGCAAATAGATAGGGAGATTGGTTTTGATGGGTATAACTTTGGGGGTTTCTAGGGTGACGGAAGAAACACTTAATAAGTTAAACCACGCTTCTTCACGCATTCGGTATATGCTCCTTTTTTTCACTAGCTATATTTGAAACTCTTGGTATTTGATCCTACAATCAACTTAGGCAATCACAAGAGAAGGATAGCTTTCATATCTTGAAATTCACCAAACCAATTGATATAGTTAGATTTAGCTTTAGACTTAGTGCTGTAATTTAGGAGCAATTATTATAAAAACTATTTTAATTTGCATTTCAAACTAAGACCTTAGCGTAGTAGAATAGAATATCGCTTAAAGAACTCGTGACCTCCTTTCCTGTGGGAGTGATAATCCAGACTCAATAGAGTCCTACATTACTGAAACGATACGTATACTTATGTGAAAAACCCCAGTGAGTAATAATAACTAATTTTAAAAACTCAATTAATTAGCAAGGGAGCGGATCAAGTTTCTGGTGCCATTACCAGGACTTACATTATTGTGATAATCGCTGGGGCGGATCAAGTTTCTAGCACCGTTGTCTGGGATGCGAAGGTTAAAAAAATTTTAGTTGAACCTGTAATACATATATTTGAAAATTGTACTGTTGTTACTTAGCGTGTCTAGTTACTGTGTGTCTATTTAATAGAAAATCTAAAATACAAAAATATTTTTGAGTGTTTGAAGTGCTTGATATCTATCATATTAGTTAAGTCTTTAGAGTTGAATGTGAAGTTTAGGAGCGGCGGACCTTGAACCATACAACTCAGATCTAGAGAGAACTTTTAGGAGGATTAGAAATTAGAAAAGACTCTAAGAATTTGTTGTAGAAATGGTGGATCAACAAATTAATGAAGATTCAGTCCTTGATTATAGTGCTAATGATTAGAACCCTACGATACATTTAGATATTACAGAGTTTCTAATGATACAATTTGATTTAGACTTTTTCTCTTTTACCAGAGGAATAAAGCCAATGTGTGGCTTAATTCATTAGCACCAGGTTCTCGGTTCGATTTAAGCAACTTAAATCGCCCAAATTAAGTCATTTTCATGCTATTTTCTTCCCCAACTCCTCACCGATGATATAAGGGCGATCATTAGGAAAACCTTTTCTCCTTGTTTTGAGCTTGATCTCGAGGGTTTGAAGGGTGAAATTCATCTTCAAGAGGTAAATTTCATTACTTTATGCTTGAATTTCCTTTTTCATCCAAGAATTTGAGAAGATTTAGGGGAAACCGCAAAGAAGAGGAAGAGATTGAGGGGAGAGCTGATTTACCTCTTAACTAACATATTGATCGCATTTCTATCATTTGCAAGTTCATTTTTCGCCATAGCTATCGTTGTTCTTATTTTCCATGGCCCCAAAAACATCTTATAGCATGGGTAAAGATTCTATTGACAAGAAGAAGTTCATTAACTCTAAAACTCAGGAGAAGTATAATGAACACTTAGTGTCAAAGAAGCTAATTGCTGAGCGGGGCTTCATTAGCCCCAGAGGTCAAGTTAAAAGCATGATTGTTAGCAGAAATTGGGATGCCCTTTGCTACACCACCGCTATAGCAGTGATTTCTGTGGTGAGGGAGTTTTATGCATATCTCCCCGATGCTTCATCGAATTCAGTATATGTGAGGGAGAAGCGAGTGGCGCCAGACTGACACCTAGGAGCCAGGGTCCAAACGCCTAGGCGCCAGTCTCTTCTCAAATCACGGAAAATAGCCATTTTTGGCACTGTTTTGACACCTGAGGCAGCCAAAATTGCAGAGCCGTGATGATGAACCTTCGGGATGAGAAAAGAGGGATTGAAATGCCTCTTTTAACCCTCCTTTAGAAGCTTCTTAGGGATCTAATGAGGGAATCTCAATCAATTGGCGGGGTGAGGTGGTTTAAACGAAGGGAAAACCCCCCCCCCCCCCACTCAATCAACGTTTATCGAGCTAATCAGTCTCCCTTTCTCTCACATTCTTCGTCGATAGGTTGAAGGAGTTTGGAGAGGTTTGGGGAGAGCATTTGGAGAAGCTTGGGAGAACCTTGGAGAGCACTTGGAGAAAGCTAGGGGAGCTTCTCCCTCATTTTCCTCTTCTCCTTTAACTCCTTCCTCATCTTCTTCATCTTCCTCCACCTCATTTTTTGAGTGTGCGAGAGGATTTCCATGAGGAAGGGCTCGACAAGCAAGAGAGCAAGGCATCCACTCCCCTAAACTAAAGAAGAGTCATCCTAGCTCGGGGAAAGCTCGTCGGAGGATCGCTGGAGCACCGCCAGAACATAGACTTCTCTTCTATTGTTAGGAGAGCTTCATCTAGAACAAGAGCGTGAGCTACCGCGATAGTATAACATCCCTAAACCTTTGCGTCTTTCCATCTTAGCTAGCCCTAGGAATAGCTTAAGATTGGTTGTGAGTTCAGGCGCTTACATGGGGTGAGCGTGGACGACCGATGTTAGGTGGCGCGGTCACACTCCCTCGGATTGATCGTTGCTTTCCTAGAGGAAGTCCTAGGTTAGAATTCTCATGCGTGGCCAAATCTTATGCGGAGCCAAGCGATCCTCCTCTCTGAACCCTAGACCTAAATTCTGGCAGGTTGGAATCCCAATCTCCTCTTGCTTTGGCTTTCCCCAACCTTCCTTGGAGGGGTTGAGATGTTTGGACTTTGCAACTTCAAAAAAACTCTGTAGGCAGCTCACTTTGCAAAGTTAGGATGAGTTGTGAAATGGAAAAAGCTTTATAGCTAGCTATTTTCACAACATTGTGGAGAGTCTCCCATTTGAAGACCCGGAGGTGAAACTCCCCACACAACTCGTCGAAGCAGGAGGTGGCTATGCTGCACATACAAGTGCTAAACCTTAGGTGTCTAACGTGTGATTGTTAGCACAAGTGTGGCTTGTCATCGAGCATGATCGTTTGCTTTGAATCATGTCAAGTGTGTCCTGCATGGAGCATCTTGCACTTGCACGTTTCCTCGACCGGCTGCCCCGACAATATTTTTACCTCGACCGGCCGCCCCGACAATATTTTTACCTCGACAGGCTGCCCCGACCTGGTCGGCATCACTCTTGCCTCGACCGGTCGCCCCAATCCAGTTGGCATCACTTCTTCCTCAATCGGTTGCTCCAGCCCAGTCGACATCACTCTTGCCTCGACCGACTGCCCTGGACCAGACGACATCACTTTTGCCTCAACTGACCACCCCAGCAGGTCAATCGACCACTTTAGTCTGACCGGCCATCCCGGCTTGGTCAACCAATCACTTAGG